ATAAAATCCTAACCTGCCTTGTTTGAGATTGCCCTTTTGGATCCTTTTTTTTAGCACCGAGATATTTCTGGCCACATTCTGTGGATCTTTTGTCCCAAACTGCTCTTGCATATCTTGATATAGGAAGAACAGCTCTTACAAACACATGTGAAGTGCCTCATCACACTGATTAACTTCAACAATGGCTGGGCTGGGAGGGAAGAAAGGGAATTCTGTCCAATTGAGGAAAGTTGATGTAGACATTTACTGTGACAACACTTCACACACACACCCTGCTTCTTTCTGCTTTTGTGAATCTGTGTACCTGCATTCTAAAAGTAAAATCTCATTTGACTGGAGTTTGACTTCTGAGTGACTCTATGGATGCAACTACGTAAGTTTTCTGGGAAGAATATAGAACAGGATTCTTTTTTCTGGCATGTTCCTTTATTTCTCAGTTTAATCTGCTGCCCTGGTATTTCCTGGTGGTGTCCCATTGGAGTATTAAACTGAGTCTGACCCCGTGTAGCTTTCCAAAACCAGCCAAGATCTACTGAAGCTGAAACACTGAACCTAAAGCTCTGAAGAGCATTCCATAGTGAAGAACAAGCATTGGCAGCTTCAAGTCCTTTTGGTATTGATACAGAAGCTTGGAACATCACTACTGGTAGTACATTAAGGCACACAATCCTTCATATAGCAGGATCCAGTTATGACCCCCACACTGCCTACAGCAACAGAAAGAAGGTCAACAAAAAGACCAGCTGTCTTGACTTCATTTCATTGGAAAAGATAACGTTTAACCAAGCATCTCCACTGCTTCTCACCCTAAAGCTGTTACGCTATGGCCAATCCAACCTTATCCGAGTAACTCAAAGACTGGGTTTCTATATTGGGCTAAGTATGGCTAAGGTATGGGAACTTAGCCATTGTCTTAACATGCTGCATGTAAACTAGACCACCGTGTTATATAAAAACAGCAACTGGATTTTGTTAGGGTTTAGTGTATAGAGTGGCCCTGAGCTACCTTCATAGCAATGCAAAAAGTGGACAGAAGGACAACACTTCAACTGGCTAGCACCAGTGAATCAAGGCTCAGTGGAAGGCATGGCCTCTGGAAAATGTAGCATGCCCAATGTCTCTCCTCCTTTCTCCTTGATCTGGATCCACATTCTCACTGCTTTGCTTTTTCTTAGAAATTCTGCCTACGAAGCTTCTCACCGTTCCCATGGGTGCCACTAATTAATTGCAGAACTTCAAAGAGACATCTCTTACCAGGAGGTAAAATGTGTGATATAATCAGAGAATGGAAATGAATGCAATAGTAGAACCTCACTTGTAGCCTTTCTTCATGGTGTTTGTTAGGCAGAGTGACTCCCTCTGAGATGGAAAAAGGAGGATGGAGAAAGCTGGGACAAGTGAGATGACAAACTGAGTCTGCAGACTGCAAATATGAAGCAACAAACATGAACAATAACCATTTTTACTAACAGCAAAAATAATTGCTGAGTATCAGAAAGACAAGGAACAAGCATTAGGAAAATAGACAATTTCTCACAGACATAAAATACAGAGTACAGAAACAAACTGGCTCTCAGGCAAAGCCATTAAGGAGAACAGGAGTCACATTCCCTTGTGAAAAGAGACACCAGAAACGTATGAATGTCTATACTCCCAAAGTAATCCCGCAGCTGCTAGACTTAGGAACAGGTCCATGTGGCTTTCCTCTGTCCCTCCTGGTTGGACTTATGGAAAGCCTATGTGTTGGCTAGATCCAGCCCTTCCTTTGGTAGCTTGATGCTGCAAGATCTTTCAAGGGAGAGGGATGCGACTGGGGCATAACAGTGCATCCTTGCAGTAGGCTCTCTGGGACATCAACAACACTTGATCCTATTGTAAGATCAAGTGGGTTTTTTTGGTGAGTACACCTGTCAAAGGTATAAATATGGGTGGAAGAAAAGAGATCTAAACTTTAAGGACAACAGTAGGGACAATAAGCCATGAAACACCCCCCCCCCATGGCTCATTGGGTGTGAGGTATCCGATATGGGAAGTACCTAGCTATCTCTCAGAGAAATTGGCACATGCACAATGAGGTGGAAAGAACAGGAGAAAAAGCCTGGAAAAAACATTCCACAAACAGGAGAGGACATTGTCAGAAAGGGGTAGTCTGACTAGCCTGGCTGCCATCAGAGATTGCATGAGAGTATCCAGGATTCAGTAGTTGATACGCCAAGATGACAAGAAGGAGTTGGGAATGTTTTTAGTACCAGGAATTCAGGAACTGCAGGTCCCTGCTGTACCTTTCTACCAGTCTCTTTGTTCTATACAGTTCACAGGGTAGTCTCCTGCAAGACAAAAGCATGAGTTCCACTTGCCCGGGGAAATCCTTCAGACGCTTTAACTTCCTCTGTATTGATCCTGGAGGGCAGGCCTTTTGGCAATCCATTTGCCACACCATTGTTGATTTTCTCCACTTCCAAAGAGGCTGGCTCTGAGCAGTTTGCATCCTTAAAAAATAATTATAAGAAAGCACAGGTCAACTATTTCCAAGACTTCTGGAATGCTGCTCTTTAACACACTTGTGTCATAACCTTTCCACTCCACCAGCAGCCCCCCCCCCAGCTCATGCATAACTATTTAAAAAATCCTGAAGATCCAATCCCTGGCACAGAGAAATTTCAGGAATTGATCAAATATGAAGAAACAAGGGTAGGGACAGGCAGAGACTGACCAATGAGGTATGCAGCCACTGAGTCAAAAGGTCACAGGATCCGAAAAGGGTTTGCTAGAAGGAAGGAGGCTCTGAGGAAAAAGGAATTGCTGGAGGATTCAAGAGAAGAGTTTGCTGGGATGGGCCAGTACAGAAAGACTGCAGGAACAGGAGGACACTACAGTGTGCAGGAGATGAGACAGCCTATGCTGAATGGGGCACAGAAGAAATGAAGAAGGGAAACCAGATGAGGAACAGGAGATGTTGTCCAAGCTACCAAGGAAGATTCGCTTTTGGGCAGGACCATTTTTTTTCTGAAAAGTTGTCTTAGGAAAGTCCCAGGAAATTATCTCACATCCGCTTGTCCTCATACAGCATCTTAAGAGGGCACAAAATCAGACTACAGCTCTAAAAGATATTGTACTGTGCAGCACAGAAGGGCAGGGAAGGCAAAGACAGAAGCTTGGCAATATTAAAGAACAAGTCTAAAAATGGGAAGCCAAGAGAGTTAATGAGTGAAAAGGCTTAAGAATCTCTCCAGGATGACAAGTCCCCTCATTTCAATAAAGTTAATTATCTCCCAACAGCTTCATTTAGAATAGTATTACTGGGCGGCAGACTCTAAAGCTTTTCTACAATGAGTGTTTTATTTAACCTTCAGTCCACTAACAGGGTGCATGTGGAAGAAAAATGTCTCATCGTATTCAGAACTCCAAAGGAGATGACATCCAAGACACATCACTTCTATACCCCACATTCTGATAAACTGATGCTTTGTAGTTACTTTATGTCCTGATGGGGACTTACAGCCATTTTGTGGGAGCCCCCACAGCAAGTTTTCAAAATTACAAATGTGTCCACCAATTCAGAAAGCCAGGGTCCCTTACCCTAATTTTAGTCAAGTCCCTGCTCAATGCAAGATCTGAAATGCAGATACAATTACAGTATCCTCATCAGTGGCCACCCAGCCTCTGCTTGAATATTTTCTCAGTAAAGGAAAGCTCTCCCTGAGGCAGTCTGGTTTTACTGCCAAACTGTGCTTAAACGTTAGGATGCTTCTCCTAACGTTGAACCAAAATTTGCTTCTCCGCAATGTCCACCGTTCCCTGTCCCCTGGAGCAACAAACTTAAATCTCACCTCTGCAGGGTCACGAACTCCACAGCGGAGCATTTTATGGTACTTTGCAGGCAAACAGCAAAGTAGTCGCGGCAGCACTGGGAAAATAGTTTGTGGATTTACATCCTTCCCACGTGTTGGGCCTGTGAGGGAGAGAAGGCGGCATTAGTAAGACAAGGGAAGGGAAGGAGGAACCTTGCAGGGCAATCCCCCTGCCTACTGAGACCAGGAGTAATGCTAGTAATGCTACAGTATCAGGAGTGGAAAGCAACGCTTTGCGGAACTTAGATTTGCATCTCCTACCAAAGGAAATAAGGAAACTAAAGTTCCTGGGTAATGACTAAACAGAATGTCATCCCCTGAGGCAATCTAACACTATAAGACAAGCCTTAGGCAACCTAGTTTCCCTTGATGATTTGGATTTATATTTCCATCAGGTTCAGCAGCATGTCCAATGATAACGATTTGTGGGAGTTGTAGTCCAGATACAACTGGAGGACACTAGCTTTCCTATTCCTGTAACAAGGAGTGCTGGCTGGAAGACCAGACCCTTCTCCCTTGGTTTTTAAGCCATCCCTTAGTACTGCAGGTGTTTGGCTCCCACCTTTACCAATATCAAAACCTGATTTTATTCATTTTATTTACTCCTGACATTTGCATCGTTTCTTTTCATAAGCAGTCATGGCAGCTTACAATAAGAATAAAAGGGGATACATCTTCACTCTCTTCTCAAGTTCTCCGTTCTGCAGATGTGATGATACTGTGTAAAACGGTGGCAAGCTGTGTTTGGGTATCCAAGGTCAATTTCCCAGCAAGACTTTCCCTTCATGGCCCCTCTGTGCAAAATGCATGTATACACACCCTGCATGTATACTTGGGGCTTGGCTTTTAAGACTTGGATGGTATTTCTAGATCATCCATATTTAAACACGTTACGTACCAGTGAGAAGACTGACTAGCAGCCCCACCACAATGACAGTGGTAGAGTTGTGTGCGCTGTACCACATGTATGACAAATTGTAAAACTTCCGCAACCCTGTGAGCCTAGAAAGAATTCAAGGAGACACATGTCAAGAGCTACTCCCTTCAAACATCTCCCCAGGCTAGTACTGGAACAAAGCCAGGTCCCCAAAGAGGCAATTCCACAAGCTTCTTTTGGGTTGTACAGCTCTCACTACATTCCCTCAGTCCCACTGCAGCCCCTGGGTTTCTGTCCCTCAAGAATATCCAGAAAGAAACATCAGCAGCTGTCCAGTCAACTAACTCAGACAAGGCAGGTTGGTGTGGAATGACAGCAGGGGAACAGAAATAACATGCTCAGTGAGTCACACAGGTTAAAAAAGAAAGACAAGAAGCTTAAAAAGAGTTGGGTCTATCAGTGGCTGTTAGCTAAGGTGATAGATGCAGTCTCCAAGTTGAGAAACACTTGAAACCAGTTATTGGAGAGCAAATACATGAGAAAGCAATGGCCCATCTTGTCCTTGTATTTTTCTCAGTTGGCTATTGTGAAAAGCAGGATGCTGGATTAGATGACTTTTTAATCTGGTCCAAGTGCAACTTTTATTATTGTATTCCAATTCTTACAATAACCTAATGAAGTTGGCCACTACTAACACCTATATATTACAAGGAAAGCAGACAAAGGCTTCCTCTCCTCCATACAGTTTGATCAATGCATCTGTCTTCCGGATCTCCCCATTTGATTCTGGCCTCTCCTGAGGGTAAGTGGACAGTAATGATAATGGTGATAAGAGATTTTTTAAAATTCATTTATTCACTTTCACTTATACAGAGCCTTCCTAAAGAACCTTTCATTGTTCTGTTCTGCTATTCTGTTAAGTGCAATTCCATATTGATAATTTATCATCCTAGTTCTATGTTGCCTACAAAGCTTTATAAATAAACAAATAAATAGCTAAGGAGGGTCTGAATCCAAGAACTACATTGCTCACAAGTCACTCTCTCTGAGCTATTTATATCAATGCTTAAGTATTGCTCAGAAATGGACAGCCCAACAGTTCTAAAAGAAAAATAATAGAAAAGACCCACTAAAAAGAAACAAAAAGGATAACAAAATGGGGTTGAGAGGGAAAAAAAATAGGAAGAGAAAGAGGTGATAGGAAGAATTGGGAAGATTTAGCTAGAGAACAGATTAAGAAGGATAGCACCCAATATCTGAAAGTACCTCCAAGAGTTGAAACACTGCCTGGAGAAGAAAAAACAATGCATTACATTTTGTAATGTGGAGATATGTTAGGGTCAGGGCTAGTCTAAACCTACCAGCAATTCAAGCATTCACTTGTAGGAGGATGTTTTCAGGGAAGGAATAAGAGCATTGTTGAAAGTCCAAGAGGAACATGTCAATGCAATGGATGGTGCATGTGCACAGGACAGCTAAACATCTTGTGGAGGCAGTGTTTAGGTTAAATAAACATTGGAAAGGTTCTGAACTGTGAATAAGTCAACAACTGAAGTAATTGCTAGAAAAGAAACAGGGCAAGGGGAGAACCCTTTCTTGGAGATAGTATCAAAAAGCAAGTAAGGTTAAAGTTCAAGCTGTGACCCTTGATGAAACTTAAGAAACTGAGTAATATTTTAGAGACAAATCTCCTCCCTATTTGCCCTAACCGTTTGCTTCTCAGGCAAGGTTTCTACTACCATCTTCCTAAGAAAACAATTTAGAGCTTTGCAGTGAGCCACCTAAGATTTCTGGAGTCGGGCAAACACCACTTGATTGGAATTCTGAGTATGAAAGTTGGAATTTTTTTTTTAGATTTTTTATCCCACCTTTATTATTTTTATAAATAACTCAAGGTGGCGAACATATCTTCCTTCCTTCCTCCTCCTATTTTCCCCACAACAACAACCCTGTGAGGTGGCTTGGGCTGAGAGAGAGTGACTGGCCCACAGTCATTCAGCTGGCTTTCATGCCTAAGGCAGGACTAGAACCCAGTCTCCTGGATTCTAGCCTGATGCCTTAACCACTAGACCAAACTGTTTGCAGCACTTTCCCATCCTGTTACTTCAGCCCAGAAGCTGCTGGATCAGAGAACAATTTTCTTGTTTTTACCTTTCTGGAGCTGTTGATGAGGTCAACAATGTTGTCATGACAGCAGTAGTCAGATTCCCATCAGTTGCTAAAATAGTGGGTCCAGGAGACACAGACTGGTAGTTGATAACCATGCTCCCAATGCCCACCCAAAATGCCATGGCCAGCCCAGCAATTAATCCAACTACAGCACCCTGTGGAGAAATAAGGAGTAAAGTATGAGGGCTTTCCCACATGCAGAAGAAGGCTTGTCCCCAAAAGGTTTGAACATATACTGGCTGGGTTCACCCAACATGGCAGGTTGAATCTGCTGCTATCCCTAGATTAACCCTGGTGAAGCAGTGGCAGATGATCAAAAGAATTAAAAGTTGCCCTGGTTAAATAGGGGCCAGCCATCTTCATTAGTGTTCCAGCTTCCTTTGAGGAGGCTGGCCAGGTGTTGGGTTTTTTTTTATAGTTACAAAAATAAAAATAAACACCAATGATAACCAAACCAGATGGGAGAAGACATTCGCCTTCCGTTCTCTTTCTTCCCTGTAGGAGCTGAAAACAAACAAAAAATAATAGGGTGTGCCCAGAGCAGCTCTATTTTGTAGAGCTGCTCTAGGCTCTTGCCTCTGTGACCAGCTGCTGGGACAGAAGGTAAACATCTTCTGTTAAGATGACACAGACGATTGAGACAGGGCAGCTTCATCCAAGCCAACTCCAGCTAGATTAATACTGACCTTCCCTTGCCCCGTTGCTGACTTAGCATTTTTGTTGCATGACTCGCTAACTTCATCCTTGACTAGCTATCGACATACTGTGCAAACAGGTTCACTGAGTCTGGTAGTTGTGCACAATACACACCAAAGCCAGCATGTCTGTAAGCTTGTTCCTTTGGCAATACTGGCCAATACTGTTAGAAACCTGACTTGCCACTGTCCTCCACCAAATGTATTGCCAGGTGAAGGGCATGTGCATGTGTGTGTATGTGCTGAATCTGAGACTGGGCATAGATATGAGGGTCTGGCCAGCCCCTGGGGCAGCAACACTTACCACAGAGTTGGCACAAGGAAAGAACATGCCCAGGCAGAATAGTCCCAGCAGTGGTCCTCCCACCATGCCAAAGATGCTGATGGCAGCCTTAGAAGAGGAAAACAAGGAGGGGTGTGTGATTGGGAGGTTTTCTCATGAAAATCTGCCTTACGCTGAATCAGATCATTGGTCTGTCTAGCCCTGCCTGCAGAAGCTCTTTACTGAATCTGGGACCTGCATGAAAAGCAGATGCTTTATTACTCAGCTACAACTTACCTCGGGGAACTTCATTGTTCATCATCAGTTATCAGTTATGATAAAGTATCTGAAGCACAAAAAATGCTACACCTTGGTTAAAATAAGCAAACCCAGTTTGGCCCACAAGCTCCTGTTCTAATGGCTGAGCCAGAAAAGGTATTAAATGCACAATGTTTTGTCAGGGCATCAGGGAAGAGAAATCGTTAAATTCCCTCATCATCTCCTGAAATTCTGACAACTAACATCACTGGGGAGTTGTATTTGATTAAGCTGCATTTGATGTCATCTATAGTTTGTCCATACAGCAGCCTTCCCCACCTTAGGTGCCCTTCAAATATAGACTTCAATTTTCAGAATTCTCAACCAGGGTCCTGCTGGTTAGGAATTTTGGGAAATAATCTTTATACACTGGAATTCACATAGCAGAGAAGGCAGAATTATAATTATCCAGGTAAAAATATCAATTTGGCATACCTGGCACAATAGAAGTGAATTCATTAATTCTTGGTGAATTACTAAGAAAAGATTCCTGGGATTGCACTGAAAAAAGGAATGTGTGAACAATGTATTTGCTACATTTGCACTACATCTTTTGGATAGAGTCCTCCATTTCCTTAGTTGTCATGAGCTGTGTGCACAGGGATTTCTGCAAGCACTTGCTATCAAGAACATGTGGCAATAGCTGTAGTTCTTTCCCAATTCCAAAGTTGCGAGAAAGTAGATTGCAAGGATGTGCAAGAGAATGACAACAGAGGAGGAGGAAGAGAAAGATGAAGAGCATCAGCTGGCTGGTCAGTTGTTCAGCCCCTAGCTCCTTCATGTCAGCTCAGAAAGGGTGGACTGAGAAGAGGGGAGGAGGCAAAGAAGAAGACTAAGAGTAAAAAGAGAGTGAAAAGAATCAAAAAGCAAGTAACAGAGGAGGGCAAAGGAAAAGAAGAAAGAGAGGTAGGTGGGAGAAGCAATTATTACGCTCTGAGAAGGAAAGGGGCCAAGAAGATGAACTGTCACTTTGACAACAAAGTGTTGCTCATCAGCATAAAAGAGGGAGATCAACGAAGGAAATGTTATGAAGAAAAGCAGATGATGGGGCTAGAAAGCTTCTCTCTTTTCTGGGATAATGATCTGGGGCTGCACTACAATAAAGTCCTCTTTATGAAGAAGCAGGCGTTGTTTTTACCTGTGCACTGCATATGATGACCACTCTCAATAGAAGGTCAACAGGGAGAAGTATCACACTCTTTGACAGATGCCTAAAACTGAAAGTGATTCTTTTCAAACGTGGTTTTCACGGAGTCCTCTTTAGCAAGTTTTCTTGAGAAGAAGGGATTGGGATTACAAGAATCCCATCAATTTGAAGGACCAATTTATCCCCATGTACATTAGGGTGGAGATGTTTTAATTTTCTTTCTACAGCCTTCTTATGATCCAGTGAGGAGACAGGTCTTTTCACTTATAATGGGAGTTACATTAACAAGTGTAGTGTACTGGGATAGGGTGCAAGTTGCTATGGAAAGAACACTTAAGGCACACATGGGCTGGGGTTTTCTCTAAATCACAAGGGCAAGCTGTTATATCTTCACTCCTATATTTCAGAGGGCAAGACTTTAAAGTGGACTCAAGATAGAGCTTTACAGTAAATTGGAAAAGTAACACTAGGCAGGTAATTTGCTGGCACGAAGGGTTTCTTGTTTATATTCTGCCAATGTAAGTTACCTAGGTCACCCTGATTTACCTGAAGAGCCCTATCAAACACTTGCTGCAGGACTGTGCCTTTAATTCTTAATAGCCCCATGACCAACACAACTTGACATGAAAAGCTGTACTGGCATAGACCAGTCAAAATTCTAGTTTTCCAGGAAGAGGAAAAATTCTTAAAAAGGGTGGTAGCAGCCAGAGTGTCACTGGAAAGGTGATGTTTAAGCCAAAAGTAGGCATACAGAGACTCTTGACTTCGGAAGGATCATTCCAATTTCTAAGCAAATTGCTGCTTTCAGAACACAGCAAGGTACCTGAAATAGCACTGTTAGGAATTTAGATTGGATAACATCTAACACAGTGTTTCACAACCTTGGCAACTTTAAGAGGTCTGGACTTCTGGATGCTGGCTGGGGAATTCTGGGAGTTGACATCCAGACATCTTAAAGTTGCCAAGGTTGAGAAACACTGATCTAACAGCTTTAAGTTATTATACTGCACATACCTGACAGCAGTATAGCATCTGGGAAATGGATTTAACTTTAAAGAATTTTAAGGCAGTAGGTATGCCCTTGTCTCCTTTAGTGTGAAAAAAACCCTAGTATGGCTTAGTACTATTGTTGATCTTATCAGAAATACATTTAATTTGTTCACACTTGATTCTAGAGGGCTGAAACACTACGTTGAAATATTTATAGGATGAAACCTAGTCTATATAGTATTGTTTATCTGTTACAAACATTTAGGTCATATAAGTCCCTTTGAAGAAAGCATGATTTTGGTTTTGGAGTAGATTTTTCTGAGCTTTTCCTCCATATAATAGTCTGCTAGGGCCTGAAGACCTCTTCTAAGGCCAAGCTCCATCATCACGCCACTGTTGAGTTGGTTAATTTTATAGTTTACTAACAGAGATTCTACCTGTCCTGAGGATTTTATTTGCTTTATATTTATATGCTTTATGTTATCAGATTGAACCTTAACATCTCTAAAAATGTTTTTAGGGCTACCATTTCTCAGAGCTACCACACAGAAAAATACTGTCTACTTTAGATTTTTATATCTATGAAAAAAACTATGCGTTTTATATTGTTTTATATCTTTTTGTCACATATGATTGGTCGCTGACTGCAAAACAGTTTATACATACTGATAATGGAGAAGTTTGCAAATGGCTGATCACACAACCTTTATCAATCTGTGAACAATAATTACAAAAAGCTTCCTTTGCTTGCAAAAAGAAAACAAAAGAAAAGAAATAGTCTGATTTTCCAGAAAAAGGAACCACCGTTTTGTAATACCTTCAAAACAGTGAATTCGTTAAGCCATGGAGAAGGCATCTAGAAGCCATGAGAACAACAAGTGCAGAAGAAGCAAGTGTTAAGCCCAGGGGGTGAGAAAGTATTAGAAAAAGACTGGCTCCCTCCTGACTTCCTGGAGTATAAGAAGGAGGGAAGAGAAAACACAGGCAGACTTGCACTATTCTGTTACTATAGCCTATCTCAGGAAAGTATAGATCTAGTCTTCCTGATCTGGTCCACCGCGTAAGGCTGACAATTCATTCTCCACATGCTTTCCTGTCTACTGACCACTCCTTACCTGCAGCACCGGACCCATCATGGAGGAGATGTAAGCCATGCCCAGGCAGAGAAGACCATAGCCCAGTGCTGGGAAGAGAAAGTGTGGGGTCAAGACAGCAGAGCCAGACTGAATGCTGGGAGTGGAGATGCCCTAAGGCTGCATCTGACCACAAGTTTTGACAGGCATCACTCACCTAACAATTTGGAGTAGAGCGTGGCACGTCTCTCAGGAATGTTGGCCGCATAAGGGCGAATGAGGTCTTCCATGGTCACTGTTGCCAGTGAATTGAAGGCTGAGGAGATGGTGCTGTTGAGGCAAGGGAGAATTGGAGAAAGATAGGAGGGCTAAATAAGTCAGGATTCCCTTACGTCAGGCTCTGACCCTGGGGCCAGAAAGGAAAGGAGTTACCTCAGGGAGCCGCTGAAGAGGCAAGCTACAAAGAGACCAGGCAAGCCAGGCACTTCTTGAAGCACATCCATCACAAAGTAGAGGACCATCTGCAAAGAGCAGGACATGTGATGAGAAAAAAGATGAAAGGATAGAGGCTCAGACTGGTGCAAAGGACAGCCACAGGCGCTGTTTGATGCAAAGCAAGCAAGCAAAATGCTTCCAGGGGAACACACAAGAGAAAAGGACATCACAAAGTACCTGTCAGTGCTACTCATATCAGATTTCAGAGTGAACACATTCACTTTTCATCATGCATAGATTTCTGTGAGTCTCTGTTGAAACAAGACACTTTCTCTTACCCCCTAGGCTAGAAGTCTGCATGCACATGTGCGGATATAGGGGAGGACGAAAGATACCCTTCAGCAAGTGCAGAAAAGAAGGCTTGAGGAAGAGATTAGAGGTAGTCCCCAGGTTAAGAACGCCTGGTTTAAGGATGACCCATAGTTAAGAACGGAGCCTATTGTAGCAAAAGTCAAGTTAAATACACAATGGTTTGAGTTAAATACACAATGGTTTGAGTTAAATACACAATACTACTTATACAGCATTATATAATAATACTGTTCCAGCCTACATACAGATTCGACTTAAGGACAGACCTTGGGAACAGAACTCATTCTTAAATTGGGAACTACCTGTAATATAAGCCTTGCCCCACGTGCTACCTTCAAAATTGTGCTCATGTAAGAATCTGATAGACCTGATCAGGTGAAGCTTTGAGCTGCTCCTGTGTCAATTCATGCTGTTGGTAGTAGGCAAGCATGACTAAGCCAGTGAGGCAGCTGAGACAGAGTACAATTTGCTGGCAGGGGAACACTGCATAGCAGGACCTAAAGGGGACAAGAAAAGGAGGGACAGTATTCGTTTATTAATTTAGCTAGTTATACTTTTCAACTACCTGTCAGCAATAACCCTTTGGTTGCTTCCCCTTAGCTAAATGTATCATCTCCCCACCCAAGTCCTGGTTCCATACTCAACCAAGTGAAGCATCTATAGGAGCTGCTTGGGGTACCCAGTACTGTGCCTCCCCAACCTTCCCACTAACCCACACGAGTCTCACTCACAGCACGGCCTGGCGCTCTGAACGGGCACTCAGATACCGTTGGACTTGAGCCTGGTTTACCCCATAGAGAGCCAACATCATGAATACGCCCCCAAAAGCCAGAGTCCAAAAGGTGTATCGTTCATAAGGGTCAGGATTCAGACTATTGAGGAAAAGAGAAAAGTCAAGGGTCATAGAAACAACATCAGGTATAAGCCTAAGTGTGCGTATGCACATGAACTAGGTTGCTGGCAGCTAGGTGAAGGCAAATGTGAGTGCTGAGAGGGAGAAGATCTTCAGTTACTAAAGAAAACTCATCCCTCACTTACTCAATGCCTGATATCTTGCCCTTCTCAGCAGCCAGCTCCCAGACACGACCCATGCCGCCAACCTTGACAGCGCCCACTACAATCACAGCCACCTGTCCCGCAAACATGACAAATGTCTGGAACACATCTGTCCAGATCACAGCTTTGAGGCCACCCTGCAAAGAGAAAGAGTCTGCTGTCAAGATGAAAATGGCAAGAATCTGGAATCCTCATAGCACAAAAGCTGGATCTCCAGAAGAACATGGATAAATAGCAAGGATTTGGAGTGGGAGTGGGATGTAGGGAGAAAAACTGTTCCACCCCTTTTTCCTCAGGAGAGCACTTACCAGGGCTGTATACAGGGTACAGACTAAGCCTATGGTCAGCACTGAAGCCCAGATGTCAAATTTGGTCACTGCAACCAAAAAAAAACTCTCAGGGAAGGACCTAATTGCCGAGAACCTCTTCCCAGAAAGCAGCAGAAAAAAATTCCTCATCTGCTCACACTGAGGCCAAACCAAGCTTCTGGGTCAACCAGTGCCAGCTTTCTGAGCAGATCCTCATTCCCCATTCATTATTCAAAAGAACTTCCTATCTTAAATTTCTATAGTAAAAATGGGGCATCATGTTCCTCATTGGGCCCTGAAGAATGAGGTACTTTACTCACCTGCATTGAGAGCCAGGGCTGGGGCATAGAGGACCACTCCCATGTATATCACCTATGGGGACAAAATGAGCACCACTGTTGCTGGACCACAGCTGGTCCTATGACCCTCAGGTCAGAGGAAGGTAGAAGGAAAGACAAACAAGGAGATCCATGTCTACTGCCTTCTCCTCCCAATACCTCCACAAGTTCTTTGTTCAAATAATATTCAAAGTGAGATTTAGAGACTGGAGAGGGAAAAACAGACTCCAGGGACAATTTAAAATATTATATCATGTAATGCACTTTAATGCAACTTTTCCGTCAAATAGCCTGGGCTCCTCCTTACTTTTTGGCCCACAAGAGCCATGCAATCATTTGGCTGAGAAAGTGACTTGCTCTAGAATTTTGGTAAGAAATGTTGGGGTTTTTTTTAACTCCACTATGTAGGACTTATTGTGTAATGTTTACTTGCTCCACACCTCAAAATGGCAGAAAACTGATGTCGTTTCTTAGCAATTGTACCTTGAAGGCTCTCCAAGGGCCACAAAAAAGAGATTAAAAAGCATATGCTGTTCTGGGGTCACAAGTTATGCACCCCTGCTCTAAATCCACAAGTGAGCTTCACAGCAAGGTAGGATTTGAATCCACATTCTCCCTACGCTGCAGAGCAGAAGACAACAAAAAGAGGATGAGTCCCTGGTGCTCCAGAAAGGGTTTGATGAAGACAAAAAAAGTCACAAGGAAATATAAAGTTTGGTATCTGGACCTGGAAGATGGGGAAAAGTGTCATCTAAGTAGGGAGGGGAGCCTGGCCTTGGCTAGAGATGCCAATGAGCTTATATAGCACAGAGATATGAGAAATGAGAAGATGAGAGAAAAAGAGCCAAAACACAGCCTTAAGCCAGAAGTCTAGCAACCAGACACAGAGATCTAAAAGAAGGAAAATATTGTCCCCATAACCAGGGAAATAATGTAGACAATTTCTATACTCACCATCTGGAAGATGAAGGTGATTGTTCCACATAGTCTCACCACCTTGTTGAAACGTAGCTCCAAGTACTGGGAGGAGAAAGAGAACAGGCAAAGCGGTGGGGTTGTTGAAAGGCGGGTAGATGCAACCCTGATAAACTTTTCTTGGCCAAGCCTTTGGCTCCATGGGAAGAAAGGTAAGACCAAAACACAGGAGGTCACCAGTGGTCAAATGGCCTAAAGTACTTGAGAGACATGTAACTGCATCTCCTGGCATCCCTTCTACCCCATGCTAAAACTCTGCCATTTGGTGCAGTTGCTGTTGCCCCACACTTGTCTTCCAACCCATATTACAATTTGCTTCTTCTGATATTCCCTACCTCCTTCATGGGGCATGGAGTAACTTTGATTTTTAGGATTGCAGAGAAAAGGAATACATTTAATAGTTCTTGCAATGGAGGAAAATAAACTGGTTTCACCTGTCAAAGATTTTCTAGAGAATACACAAAATAATGAAATCGTAAGGGCATAGCAGAATTTTCAGTGAACTTATCATTGCTCAGCATGCACAGAAGATCAGTTCAGAACTACAAGGAAAAGCGTAGACAACAGAGATGGTAATAACATTGTTATTAAAATGAACTGAAGCATTTGAGATGGGTTCAAACAGCACCAAACCCAGCATAATAAAATCCAATTTCTGTGGCATTCTTCCCCAGGATGAATTTTGCTTTCAGCCCAAAAGCAGTCTCTTCAACCAGGATTTCAATATTTTGAACACGTTCTGCCATTATAGTCATTTGGCCTCTGAAGCAAAGGGAAAACTGCAAAAGTTTGCAACTCAAAAGTTGAGTTCAAATGCAAATGAATTCATGTCCTGTTTAGGGAAGATTAAAATTATTGGTGGTGTTCATCTTAGAACAGATTACAGGGAAAAGGCTAGAACTGAAAAATGTAATATAGAAAGAAGATAAGGCATTCCCACGCACACAAAAAGTAAAGTATTTCTTCATCCTATCCATGAAGTTTATTTTCACATGGCTTCTCTAAAACCGTGAAGACATGGCTTTTCTTGCAGGCATTGGGTTGGGTTGGTAGATCAACCTGTGATGTGCATGTTTTTATTGGCAGCCTCAATTATGTGTTAAGTTTTTTACATTGTTGGATTTCTTGGGCTTTACACTTTATCTATAATTTTCAATTTTTCTCTCTTGTATACTGCCCAGAGTCACAAACTGTGAGAGGAGGCTTTATAAATCTTTTAAATAAGTACATTTTTGATTATCTGCCATCAAGTCAGTGTTGATTTTTATCAACTACACAGACAGACTTTCAAATAAACAATTAAATAACTTCATAAATATCGATTACATACAAGGCAGACTGGCCCATTCCCATCAAGAGGTCAGGTGGCAAAATGCACAAGCATTGTGTCCAAATATGAATTCTTAGATGATAAACCCAACCCAAACCTGTCCATATTTGTTTTCTTTCTCCTCTTGAGCTGCTTTGACCACAGAGATAAGGAAAGCTCCATTGCAAATTGTTCAGAGAACAAAGACCATGTTTGGGGATCCTGCAATATTTGGCCTGGAGACCGCTACCTTCCTAGGAAAGCTGGAGGAGCAGCTGCTACTTTGCTTGGTTTAAGAACCAGCTGTGCTTCTGCAACATTAGCCACAGCTACATCAGAGCTAGCAGTCTTCAAACTTGTGGGATCTACTTTTTGTAAAAAAAAAGAAAGAAGAATACTGAGTTCCATCAGCCAAAGGACACAGCTGGATACAAAAATGATGGCTCAGGGAACAGAGCCTCACACTTAATGAATCTCATGAGTCATGTGTAAGGATGAGCCTCATTCTCAAGTACAAAGCTGTATCTGATTGCCAACACAAAAGTCTAAAACTGATCATAACCCTTTAAAAAGCATCCAACATATATTTATATTCTCAATGATAATTATGGCAAATGCATCACACTTACACCTCTAGGAAGGAGCAAACTGTTTTATCATTTTTAAGCATCAAGACCCATTTTATAGGTGGATGACTTTAACACTCAGGTACATGTAATTTGGCCACAGAACAAGAATAAATTTATGGTACTTGTCACTGCTGTATTAAAGAAGTCTTGCCAAAAGGTGCTTCAGAGCATACAAAGTGTGAATGCAGTACAGTATCTATTTGCAACTCCTTAAACTAAACATATTTTTTCCCAGGATTGCAAAGCAACTGCTACATGATCCCAGGAAAGTGCATGGTTACTTTAAAGAGTTACAGAAAAGCAACTCCCAGTTGGCATCTCCAGGGGGTCCAAAGCACCATTTTGCCTTCAAATCCAAAACACTGTACAGTCCTGCTAAACCCCACTGGGAACCGCTTGCATATCTAGCAATCAAATGGCTTCGTACCAGACAAAGGGGCTAGGATTGCCATAGGCTGGAAAGTAAAGGATCAAGAAGGAGGGAAAGAAAGATATGCAACAAGCAGCAAAGTTGTCCAAGTAATTTAATTTCGAGGTTGAAACATTCCATCCCTGAAATAAAGGTTAGTATAGCCCATTTTGAGATCAGATCACTTCTGTTGAGGTAGGGGCAGAACATTCGGGGTTAGAATCTTTTGCACACCTCTAAAACATGGCTGTGCTAGCTAGCTAGCTAGCTAGCTATTTATTTATTTATTTATTTAAATCTATGTAGCCATCCATCTCACTTAGGTGCCTCTGGGCAGCTCAAAAGTTAAAACAACAACCTCATATAAATAAATTAAAACAATTAACCAAAAACATAAAAGCACAGAAAGTCTCAACCTACAATTCATGGACAATACAACCATCTTCAGCCTCTCCATGTCCATGGCACTGCTGTCTCTTCAGGGACTTCCTAAAGGCCAGCAAGGTTAGGGCCAATCTAACCTCAGGGGGGATGATGTTCCAGAGGCAGGTGTCACGACAGAAAAGGTTCTCCTCCTGGGTCCCATCAGATGGCTCTCTTTTGTAGATGGGACCCGCAACATGCCCCTTCTGCTGTAGCTGATGTGATGGGTAAATGTAACAGAGGAGAGGTGGTCCCTCAAATAACTCAGCCCCATGCCATAAGTTGCAAGACTTGGAAGCACTGGGGCAAAGGGAAAAATCCAAAGGGATGGGGGTCAGAGCAGAGATCAGCAACTGGGAGCAGTACACATATATCAAGAGAATTGGATCCCATATTTCATTTTATGCCTAAACTTCCACAGATGTATCCTTACTCTATATTAATAAATTTGTAACAGCAGATGTTCCCAACTAAGCCAAAAGGATTGGCTATTCTTTGAATACCTTTGATTGGGGCAGAAAACAGAAACAGAGTGAGCTATCAGTGACTCTAACCCACCATATAGGTATTTTTATGTATTTAACTTGTATGGTACCCTTCAAAACAAATTTTTCCTGGGGCAGCTTACAATACTCTAAAAACGTGATTTAATTCTTTGTAAAGCTAAAAAGTACAATATATTAAACATGCTGGTCCTAATTCTCATTCTACTTCATTGCATCAATGCATTTTACTCTATGCCCACGTCCAGCACCTACCTCATATGTACTGGTAAGTCGCAGGCGATAGAAGATTGGAATGAAGACGTGAGCTGGGATGAGAAGCCCCAGGAAATAGGAGCAACCAAGGAACCAGTACTCGGTCCCAAAGCGATAGATTTCAGAGGGGACGCCGAGAATGGCCACAGCTGACTGGAAAGTGGCAAGCAATGAAAAAGCCACAGGTAAGAAGGTCATGCTACGGTTGGCCAGCAGAAATTCTTGGACAGTGCGCTGCTTCCCACCAGTCAGTGCATAGTACAGTCCTATCCCTGCCGAGAAGACTAGCAGCAGCACAAAAATAGCATAGTCTGCCACAGTAAACTTCATTGTTGATATGGTACAACTGCAGACACCTTTCGGAAAAGTACTGGCTGCTGGAAATTGTTGGAGAGTCCAGCTGTGCTGCTACTATCTCTTGTTCATAACGTAGAAGCACCCATCATGGGCAGAACGGCTAAGCTGAATTCTACCAGGGCACCGGGCTCTCTTTTGTCCACCACTGGCAACGCAGACAGCAGCTCATCACCAAAGTGCCAAGCAAGTACTTCACATCCAGGAGCCTGCTGAGATGGCCATGACCAAGAACAGCCAATCTGGAAGAGAGAGAAGAAAATGCAAGTGAGCAGAACGTCAGAACATTCCATGTCCAAGGACACTTTCCCTTCAAAATCCAACAAAAGCTCAGCCTATGGAGTTTTCTGACCTTCACTCAGTCATCTCAGAGTCTCAAGGTCCAGGACTGAGCAAGGAAAGTTTTCTTGACCCAGCAAGTGTTGACAGGCTTCCAAGCAGGGCCACCAGCTGTAACCCCTTCAGGTCAAAAGCATACTTGGCCCTTTGCACAAAGGCCTATCCATCTCCACACAGCAGAGGCAGGGTGGAGTTTGAGAACGTGCACACCAGGAGTGAAGGAGCAGAGCAAAGCCAAACTACTCAGTCTGAGCAAGCCAAAAGCAGCAGCCAGAAGAGTCAGTGGGAGATACATTCAACAAATCTTTCCCCATAAAGTATGCCAGAACACACACCAAAGCAGCCAACTATGACATTAGCAACCCAGATCCTGAAACAAAGACCTCAGTAGAGCAATTAATGGTCAACTGGTATATTTGTTGTACTATTTAGCTTGCAAGTGTGAGGTAGCCTGTATTGAGGTTATAACAGGGAGGAGCATATCAAATCAAGACTCCCTGCCCTAGAATGTTCTCGTTCTCTCTCTCTCTCTCTCTCTCTCATGTTCTCAGGCCTCATTCACACAAGCAAGCAGCAGAGGAAATAGACAGTCTGCCCCTGAACCATAGCACTTTGAAATGCAGGTTTGAGTTTGCATTACAAAATGTTCTTTCCTACAAAGAAACCCCTCTCCATCAGGAAAAGGAGCTACTGGTGTGAAGGCTAAACTAGAACTTTTGCTCCTGATAGGCTAATTTCCTATGTGCAGATGTTGGGTGCAGTCATCTAGAAATGGAGGGAGGGAGTTATTATATTTTATATATCCTTTGTTCATAAGATCAATTAATTATAAACAATTAAATATAGGTCCACCAATAACACTGTAGGCAAAGATAGTATAGGACAATGTTTCCCCAACCCCAGCTGGGGAATTCTGGGACTTGAATTCCACACATCTTAAAGTTGCCAAGGTTGAGAAACACTGGCATAGGACATAAATTGTTTCTGGTTTAGAGGCAGATGAACAAATCTCTCCTGAGTGCTTCACTATAGAAAGGCTGGCATAAGGACTATTCATGTTTCTCCTTTCTTTTCTATATATAGCTTATCTCTTTTCGCTTTCCCTCTTTTCCCTTTGCCCAACTGTATTGCTTGTATTAACTTGTTGACTGTGTTTATGTTTATGTTGAACTGAATGTTTAACATTGGTTTTAAAATGGTTGTATGCTTTTTGTTTCTATTTCTATTTTTTATTGTTTTTAACTGTTGCAAGCCATCCAGAGTCACACACAGTATGTGAGATGGGCGGCTATACAAATAAAATAAATAGATAAAAGTTGTTAACTGCCTCTCTCTTCTGGTAATCCCTCCATTCTCTTAGTTTTCTGGCTACCTTCCTTTTAAGGAAAAAATCCAATTAAGCTTTTACTAGCATTAATCAAATGCATATAAGCTATTGTGTCAATAGATACGAAGAAGCATTAAATTATGGGAGCCTCCACCTGCAATCTGTACAGCTGTGACACACAATTACGACTTCATCTGATAAGCTTCAGAGAAATAGAGGTGGAAAGCCTTTTATATGCGTATGACAGAAGAAACTGACCTGGTCTCTTTTTTGTAACTGTGAGAAAATATACCCCTTGTGTATAAAAACATGGAAATTGCTGTGGCTGACAAGCCTTCTGACAATCTGCTCTGATTTCCCCAGCTTTTAACACACAGACATTTATGACTGACCATAGAGGTGTGCAAAACATTTCATCATCCATCATTCCAGTTTCAAAACAGAAAAACAGAGTGCTGTGATTTGGAGCTAACAAAATAATGTCCTTGGAAAAGAGAGGACGTGGCAATTAATTCTCCGAGATTGCTGTGATGGAGAAACTTGCACAGAAAGATGAAACAGCCTGAAGATGGCCCAGTATTTACAACAGGCTAGGAAAAATGAACGTTCAGACTTCCACGCTGCTTCTTCCATAAATCCAACTGCAAAAATCTTTTTCTGAATTATTCTGTAAGCCTAGATAGCAGAGGGGGATTCTCTGAAGCCATTCTCCAAAGCCTGTCTTCAGCTGACTTCCACTTGGTAGTGCATTAATCTTTTAAGTATGGAGGAGATTTCAGTCTCATGAAGGCAAAGGAACATTCAGAAGTAAAAAAAGCCTTCAGCAGAATTAGGACAGGAAAACCAGGCAACTTCCTCTCAGGCATTAGCAACCCCTTAGCATCAGTGAAGGGACATGCAGCCAAGTGGAACTCAAGCAAGAACTCTTGAGGTGCTGAGGAATGACATGCAACATTATTGAGACAGAAGCATGGCCTGTTCAGGGCTTAATTTTAGAGAACAGCTGCTGAAGGAAACTAGCTTGATGCAAGTAAGAGAGGGTGAAAAAACTACCTTGGGACAGAAAAAGTGTAAAACAAAGACAGGAAAGCCGTAAATGTGGGGCTTAACCCATGCCCCAAATTTCCTTCTCAGAGAATGTGAGAAGGCCAAGAGAAACAAGAGCTCAGTGTAAACGGAACAAATGCCATCCTCTGCAATCACAGCCTCAACCAACTCATTATAAAACAATCCTCTTAGCAGGTTTGAGCCAAAAATGGTAGGGCGGTCCCATCATGGCAGGGACAGACTACAGACCTCTTTTTTTCTACTGTGTTGGGAAGATCTGCAGAGTCTTCTTGTGTGGAGAACAGTCTGTGACTCCCATGGTCTGACTGCAGTCCATTTAAGTTTACCAGACAGAATTTGCCAGGCCAGCTATTGTTCTATCAGTCTCTCTATCTGTAGAAGACCAGCTTGCTGGGTGCGGATGTGGACAGTCATGGTGGAATTGACTGCCGAAGCAGCAGATACCATTCTATCCTTTGTGGGGAACCACAAATGGTGGCTCCCCTGCCTGATCCTGAAGCCTCCGCATAGCAATGAGAAAAAGCATAGCAAAATCTTTTTTTCTAAAAAGCAAAACCATTATTCTAACATGGTTCATATTTATGTAACATGGTTCATATTTATGTAGATTGTTCTCCTGGCATTTTGGAATATGAACCAAGTATAACAGCAGACTGAATCTTTTGTTATTCTGTCCTCTTTGCACATTCTCATCTAGGCATGATTAATAATTGTTAAGCACCTAAGGAAACTGAGATAGGGCTGACCCAGCAGGCATACAATCTACAATGACAAAAAGGTGGAGAAAAGCAAAGCAAAACAAGCTTAATATGCTAGTAACAGAGAAAAATCCAAGTTAACTGGCCTGGTGACTTAAAAAATCTTAGGTCCAAATTGCTTCAGTGATCTAGCAGTTCAGGTTTAGCCAAAAATAGCCTCCCTTGGAAATTAACAAACAGTCGGAAAGAATGCAGAAGAATAGAGTTATTCTGTAAAGGACTTTATTTTGTGCAATAAATGAGCAAGACCTTTAAAGAAGATAGGAAGAAAATTAGTTTACACAGCTGATTATCTTCTCTTTATAAGAAAGTATCTTATAGAAATTAAGTATCTTATAGAAAGATTTTGATGCCGCAAGCAAAATTAGAGAGGGAAAATATCATGAAGAAAAGTATTTATTCTAAACAGAGAAGAACAGACCTGGGAAAAATAGGCAGGATCAGTAGCTAATTCGGGCACTAGGAATTTTGAATACATAGTTAGCAGGATTAAAGCAATTGCAAAATAGGCAGTGGCTTGTTAAGGCTTGCCAGCCAAAGACTGCAAGTTTGAGGGTCAAGGTGAAAGCACCAAGGAAGGATCCTACAAAGAGATCCCACTCACCCCCTCCTTTAAAGAAGTTGCTTTTGGAAGTCCTTGGACCATTTTGCTTTCTATTAAATTACATGTTCTGAACTGAAGAACTGCTTTTCTTTCAAGGATAGCACATGGCTAGATGCATAGCCAATTAGTTTATCTGCATCTGAGGAAGAATTTCTACAAGGCAGATGCTCCAGACTGCCCCTCTCAGTAGACTGACCTTCATCCAAGAACAGCAAACCTGACTTTTAGTCTCACAGCCACAAACACTACTTTAGGCTGATAGTGCAGTCTGACTGGGCAGAGATTTTGTACTAAGTCACTACAGCAATAGCCACATCCTTCTTTATGTTACATAGTGTCTCCAATGTTATCTTATTTGCCTTGATGCCCGTCCGACCAAGTCCACAGGTTACTTTTATCCATCCCAAGGACAACTTAGGCCAAAAAACAGAACTCCAACAGGACAGACAACTGAAAGTTCCCAGCTAAGGACATTCTGCACAAAACTTTCTGTCTACACTGAGCATGCCAACACATTAGGGTATACTAGATATATGTTGGCTTCCTCTAAATGACAAAACCTCTATCATTTGCTGACTTAGATAAGAATCTCCCATCTCAAGTGAGAGATTCATTCTCACAACTGCCCTCTGACCAGGAAGCGTCATTCTGCAGAATCCAAACCATATACAAAGGCCAAAGGAACTCATTGGGGAGAACATCCAAAGTTCCTCTTGTTTGTCAAAATTAGGTTACAAGTCTAGCCACCAAATCAGAGTCTGGCTGAGCAATATCTGAAGACTTGCAAGATTCAGGGCATTCAGTACCACATGCAATAATTCCAGGCTGATTGTTGGAAGCACTAATAATGAAACTAAAGTTTAAATATTTTGGACACACAATCTGAAGGTGAGGGTCATGGGAGAAGACCTTCATGCCAGAAAAAAAATCAAAGATAATTGTCAGAGACAAGTAGCTAGATCCTATCATTAACGGCACATGCATGAGCTTACAAAAACTCAAAGAAGCAATTATTGACAGACAATTATAGCAAACTGAAGTTGATCTAGATCTCAACTAGATCATGACTGAACAAAAACATCATAGAGCTTTCCTATGTCATTTTTTGAAAAAGTTTCCTGGGCAGGGAAACCTGAGTCTCAAACCCCTTCTCCCCTGTGAGCTCACTGGATGACCTTGGTCTATATCCTTCTCTAAACTTAAATTACTTCAGAGGTATTTAGGAATTGTATGTCTGGAGTTCAAGAGAAAGTCTTGGACGGGGTTCAGAGCACTTTGGGAGAAAAGTCTGACAATAACCGTGGGAGTAGGTGCATGACCTTAGAGAATGTGGACATCTATGCTCATCTCCAAAGAAATTACACCTGTTGAACACAACTACAGGGACAAGATCAGGAACAGAAAGGTTACAGATCTTGCAGAGACAATCAGAATACAGGCCAATGGATGGCAAGGGTATTTTATATGTGCCCCAGGAAAAGCTCTCACCCCATACACAAGCAACCACAAAAGGCAGACTATCCACAGCATGGGGATGATATCTGTTCTGCAGTCTCAGGGGATCCAGACAGTTGTAGATTCTCACTTAGAGTCCATAACATCTTCAGCAGAGTGACATTCTATCCAGCGTTCCCTCGGGGCTCCTTGGAGCTGAACTGGGGTGAACAAAGCCTGCCACACGGATGGCATTCCCAGCCTCACTTCCCCATAGATCAGCCTGGTCAGGAAGGGGAAGGGCGGGAGGATTTAACTAGATCCCTGCTAGTGAGAAGCGATCCAAGGGAAGCACCCCTGAACACGTGTAGCATCTTTGCCCGCAGCCAGGGAAGCGGCGGGGGAAAAGCTTTCTGCTCCAACACTAGCGTAGCAGTTCCTGCCCGAGGAGGCGTTCCTCCTACTTACCGCGAGGCGAGCGGGAGACGAGAGCTAATCGCAGTTGATCTGGCCGCGGTTCCACGATGCACCCACGTGCAGTTCCCGCTGCCATCGCCGCTTCTGGTCTCACCGCTGGGCTGACATTCCCAAGGACAAGCACCGCCCCGATTCCGCGCATTCGGATGACATCAAGCCGCTCGTGCCGCCGGCCGCCACGTTAATGCCTGGCACTGGCTGCGTTCCCACGACGGCGCGCTGAGCTACACATTAGCCACACAGGGTTTAGCCTGGCGTGTTGCGAAAACTTCACCCGCGTGGTTGCTTTATAGCTGAGTGAGCCATGTACACCCAGAGACTGTATTAATTTCTAAACCATTAAGTTAACCATGGACAAACATCGTAAAACACACCCAAACGTTAGCACAGCTTGCTTAACCTGCTTGCTGAATGAATTCATTTTCTGCATATGCACAACACTGAAACATCAACGAATCAAATGGGAGGAGTTTTTAATGTGTAAGCCGCCTAGAGTCACTCGTATAGTGAGATGAGTGGAGTATAAATTTGATAAATAAATAAATAACACTCTAAGCCATAGCTAAGTTTAACACTAACCATTTAAGAGACCTGATTCAGCACATTGTGTGAACCCTAACAATGTCTTTCAGCACCACGAGGTCTGAGGGAGACGCAGGGCCTTTCCCAGCCAAGCACCATGAAAGACCTCACCAGAAATATATTTATACTGTGAGAAGGAAATCAAATTCTCCCCCCCCATGTCAACAGGAAGTCAAAGCCTCCCATTTGTCTCACCCTACCACTGTCTATCTTAAACAGCAATCAAAGCATATGGCTAAATTATAGTAAGAATTGGCTCATCTAAAAAGATTGAGACGTAACAGAAAGAATCAAGAGTCCTCCACCCTAGCCCAGAATTAAATAACTAAAGACCTGGCAGGAAGGGCCAACATTCCTTAAACCCAAAAATCGAATCATAAAAAGATTTCTTCCCGAAGAGATCTACATTCCAATTAGACAATACCAGACAAGGCAAACACAGGAAACCCCAGCTCAGTAGAGTGCCTGACCTTAGAACACTCTCATCTAGTCAATTACACCCTCACCGGAACACCCCCTCCCCTGGAATCTCAGCTAATTAATCACCTTTCTAAGAAATGGTAGAGGGCGGGTTTCTCTTCGCACCTTTTAAGGATATTCCCTATAAAAGGGATTCCTGGGAAGCCCCAAGCGTCCAGACACCTGATCGTGTTGGGTATCTGGCTCTCGGAAATAAAGTCTTCTCTCTCCTTCAAGCAACCGCCTGCGTGTTTACTCCCGGCTCGGAGACAAACCTCGTAAATCTGCATTCTAATAATACCCCACCTTTCAAGTTACAAAACATTCAGGTTAATAACCTTCCGTAGTGGTGAGCAATGAGATATTGCTCAGTGAGATAGCTCGATTTGCTACTAACTCACATTACTGAAGGTGTCAGATTTGCAAAAACAGCTGGAAACTAAGATTTATCATTGGTCCACTCATTATCTAGACCAGTGTTTCTCAAACCTGGCAATTTTAAGCTGTGTGGACTTCAACTAGCTAGACTGTGGAGCCACCAGGAACAAGAATTAATTTATCCTTCCTTTTTCCTGTAGTAATTGATAATTGCCTTTCAATTCTGCAAAAAAAAGGGCTGCACTTAGGGAGCTCTGCTTTCTAATATTTTCATCCCCTAAAAAGAATCCTCTGCCGCTTATTCAGGTAGTAACAGCCAGTTAATTTCTGCAAAGATGGTTGGGATACTAGTTGTGATAGTTACTTCTATTAAACTGGAGATTTGCTGAGTTGTTTAGATCATGGGTAGTGCCAGGCCTGATCAGGTACCAAGCCAGAGTAGGTGGATTGTGCCAACACATCTATTAATAACAATGTTGATACTGCTAGAATGTTCTTAGAAGTATAGTGGCTTGGTTCAAACAACATGCTTAGTCTAGAGTAGCGTGAGATTGTGGGTTGTGTAGGTTGTGATTCGGTGTGTGGGGACCTAGCCATTGTCTTAGACATATCACATTAAGCCATAATAAGATTTATTTGTTGTTGTAATTATTTATTACATTTATATGCCACCTGACACCCAGCAACTCTGGGCTTAATATGTTATACAAATGCACCAATTACATTTTATTAACCTAGATTTAGTATATTGTGTGGATCCAGCCAATATGTGTAAGCTGCCCCGAGTCACCGTGAGTGAGTTGGGGGGACATATAAATTGCTTTAATAAATAAAATAAATGTGCACCTGTTCCAAAGCTCCAATAGGCAGATGTGATTCTGTAGCTCCTATCTAGTTACTTTCGGAAATTTAACCCATTGCATGGCCTAAACTGCATTTGCATGACAATCTAAATATGATTTGCCAAATTCCATTTTGGTTGGTGTCCAAGCAATCTTTCACCAGACAGAACTTCCTGTTTTATTTTTCTTCATTCTCCTTACCTCCTTCAAAGGAATTGCTACCAGGAGTGAAAAGCAGAAATGCTGCTGTAGGAGCAGTTCCCCTAGGTGATTGATGACCCATTCTACATTTTTTTCCCAGCTCTAATGTCTGCTTAGCTATAAGTGACTCTTTGTCTGGATTTGGATAATGCAGCCTGAAACAAAACATGGTTATATCCTGGAGTTAAGAAAGGAAATCTTAACCAAAATCTAATCCATATCCTGGATCTGGACAACACAGTGTCACAATGTGGTTTTAGTGTGTCACGTAAGAACAGCCACTGATATTTGTATGGCAGTTACTCTCCAGTTCCTAGCTGCATGGTTAAGGCATTTTCATGCTGAGGTTGGAGGAATGCACGGAAGAGCTCCAGTATGATGCCATTGATTCAGCTGAAATTTGGATTCCACTGGCCAGGAAATGAGGCGGACGATGTTCTGAAGAGTTGAGGCCTCTCGGTTGATTATCCAGTATGTACAAGGCATCAGAAAATCTAGAAATATTTACAAGCAGAATAGCAAGACATCTGCCTTGGGATGGGAGCAGGTACTTTAGAATAACATTTAGAATGATTGCCTTCAAACCTCTAGTTCACTTCCTAGGAGAAAATCATGGAGCTGTAATAGAGTTGGAAGGGATCCTGAAGGCCATCTAGTTCAACCCTGTACTCAGTGCAGTCTGCTAAACCATTTCAGACAAAGAGAGATAGCCTAGTTCTTGGATATATGAATGGGTTTTCTCCCTGTGTTTGGATAAAATTATTCCATCTAAAATGGAATGCTAGCAAACTCCTTCAAAATGTCTCAGCTTATATGTCACTATTACTTCTCTTGAATGAGTACAAATATAAACATCCCACAGACAGAGGATATTTATTCTTCTGTTCATAAATTCCATCTATTATTTAATAATAGACATGGGTTGAATTTCTAATTCATTCTTAACCAATCTTATAGACATGGAAGCGCTAGCTCCAATTTACACAGATCATTATCCAATAACCGTAAGACTACATAGCGGAATTTCCAGATCAAAAAGGTGGATAATTAATTAATGTTTATTATTACAAGAGGATATTAAACCGAAGTGTCATCAGGAACAAAATCATGTTTCTTTAGCTACAATGTAGGATGGTAGTAAACCACTTATAAGAAGTTTATCTTTTTGGCATCAAATACAAAGGAATTCATATAGATACGTTGCTGAATGATCAGAAACAATTAAAATCGATATATAAATTTAACCCAGTTCTGGGTTTAGAACAAAAAACAAAAATAATACATAATCAACTAAATGTAATTGAAGTAATTGAAGTGAGTTTCCTTCAATCCTTAGCGAAAGAAGTTTTAAATTCAAGTTTAAGAACTTAATTTTTTTCTGGAATAAACAGCAAAAGGATGATTAAAATATGGATTTTAGAAAGTCACAAATGGATTAAGGGTCCAGATAAATTTGAAATAAGATTTTGGAATTAATTATAAAGAATCCTTCCTGTAGGAAAATGCTTTTGTTTTGAATTCTTAAAAAAAAAAGGTATTCCTTTAAAAATTGGACACTAGAGGGAACTAGAAGGAACTA